AAGTAGCTGCAATTAGGCTGAGCCACACCCTGGTGTTTTCAAGGACACGCTGACAGTCCAGAGGCAGCGTCATCCTGCCTGCCCCACAGCTTACTAAAGCAAACGCTAAGACAGAGTGGAAAAAGTGGTTATAAGGAAAAGGAGACAAGCAAATGGCATAGAAATGGGGAAGTAGAGGTGATGTCTGAAGATTAACAGCTATTTTTTTTAAACAATATTTTATTAAGTTTTATAAGGGTAGGGAAAAAATAGGATCGATATAGGTATTGGGATTCGGGGTGGGGTTCGGGGATAGGGTTGGGGTAGGGGAGGGTACAGTTTATTTTAAAACATGGGAAAACTTTTACCAATGGTTAGCAAAACAAGTTAGCAAGAAATGATTGCGACATTTAATAAGATGAATGACATTTACTGGTTAATCGATATGTTTTATGATCATTGTTATTTTTGTTGACTATAGCTCTTTATTATCATACTAACTATTCTCATTGAATATCTGTATCCGGACAATAGTCTGCTTGCTAAAGCTTGGAAATAATACTAACTAACGGCTATTTTAAGCAGGAAAGAGGGCTATCATTCAACTGCCAGGACCACAAGCTTCCTCCTTCTGTTATATATTCAAGATGGATAGTGTTTAATATTTATTTGTTATATATATGTAGGGGTGTGGGTCTATATATATGTTGTATATAGTATGTTTAGGTGTGTGTCATGTATGTGTTCACTTTGAGAGTGGGCAACTAAATTTCATTTTTGATGTGTGCTGTTGTGCCACAGTAAAAAAATGACAATAAAGGTCGGTCGGTCGGTCNATCTATCTATCTCTATCTGCTATGGTGGGAATCCTGCTTGGAGTTTTGCCAGAAGCTTGAGAGAAACCTGAAAAGGAATTGAAATGGCACCTCCTCCCAACTAGTGAAAGAATTTTTGGGAAAAGGCAAAGGTTGTGTGTAAGTTTGAGACTTTTGTTTGAACTGAATATAAAAAGACTACATCATCCCAAAGGTGCTTTTTCATTGGAGACGTTTCTCTTCTGACGAAGCTTCTTAGATGAGAAGCAAAGCATCTTCAAGGAAAAACAAAGTCCAGTTGCCTTTTGAAAAAGCACCTTTGGGTCAGTAACCATGACCTGGATGACTGAGAATCTCCGTAGACATTTAAAAGACTAAGTATGAAGGAATGAGTATTAAAGAGATACTTAGGTGGCAACTGCACCTGGCAAAACCTAGAAGTGTTTTGCAAGGTGCTGTTGGGGAAGGTGTGCTGCAAACATTGTGTACAGATTTACTATACAGTGGTATGTCCAGTTCTTGGAAAGCAAAAAAAAAAAAAAAAACCCTCAAAAAAGGCTAGGTTGGTGAGAACATTACAACATTATGCAAAAGCTTAGATGACGATTGGTACTTGTAAACCAGGAATTGGGCTCATGTCTGTTTGATGTGATGGTCTTCCCACAATACTTCTCCGATTTGTCCACGGTGATGGGGTGATTCGAGCTGTTATGGATTCAGCGTTCAGCATTTGAATTTTGGGGAGGCTGCTGTGTTCTCTGTGTCAGAGCTTAGATCTGGGATGGAGAAAAAAGGCAGCTTGGGTTTGAAATATGGATGCCAGAACATTTGAAACAACAAGCAATTCAGTCTGGGAAGGAGCTAATGAATCCATGCTATCTCTTGTAAAAGTACTTCTCTCTCTGAGAAACAAGATTGCTCTATAACAGGGGTCTTCAAACTTGGCTCTTTTATGACTTGTGGACTTCAACTCCCAGAATTCCTCAGCCAACGTGCCTGGCTGAGGAATTCTGACAGTTGAAGTCCACAAATCATAAAACGGCCAAGTTTGAAGACCCCCTGCTCTATCATCTATATGGGACCCTCCTTTTTCTTTGTAAGCTGATATCTATTGCCAATCATAAGTAGAATATTTGCCACTTCTACTGCCCAAAGAAAATATTTGCAATACTGTACTTATTTGATTTGCTAATCTGTACATGCTCACCTTTAATGCTCTACAAATGTCTATAAAAAGGCATCTGTTATTTGAATAAACTGCATTTGTTTAATTTTTGCCTTTCCCCTGCCTTAAGGTGATATTTCTAGATATGAGTGCCATATTTTGTGCCACATGTATTAAGGCAGTTATGTAGCCCTGGATATTTTGAATTATGATAGTATATGAAAATCAGGAGAGATAGCATTTAATAATATTTTGCAGAATGCATGTTTCTTTCAGTGAGATTTTATACAAACCGGCTAATTAGAGATTATACTTTTTTTTTTCTTAAAAAAAGTACTGCCCACTTGGACAATTTTAAGGGGAATTTCTATTTTTAAGAACTACAATCTTTAATCATGCTGTTAAATGCTATTTTCTTTTCTTAAAAAATAAATGCAATGTAAGTGTCATAAATACATGATTTACAAGTGCCACAGACAGCTCACTTTGGAAACAGTCGCTCTTATTCATTTAAATAAGCAGATTGTACATTATGTAATAGAACAACAACAAAAAAGGTAACGAAGTTTGGAAATTAAAACTCAGGGGTTTTTTTCCCCCCCCAAGAAAGAGAGGTTGGATGTTCCCAGCAACCATTTTCTCTCCTCCACTTTTCTGCAATTCAATATAGTTAATATTAATTCGCACATTGCTTTATTTCCAATGTATTTTTCATACAGTAACTAATATCTGCCCAGCTGTGATTGCCATTTCTCAGATTTGCCAAGGAACAGTAAGAGAATTTGGATATGAAACATAATGTTTTCTGGGAATGCTTCCAACATCAAAAGCAATATGATAATTTGCTAAGGGGCGTTTTGCCAACAAGTTCCTCAGCCAGCCCAAGACAACAAACACAAATTAGAAGTGCCCCTCGATGGTGGCAGAGATAGGATTACACAGTACTAATGCCCCCCCAAATAATCTTCTTTCTCACAGCTTCTCATCTCTTCTTTGTTAAGTGACTCCCTGCACTTCTTAAATCAGGGGTGTCAAACTGCCGGCCCACGGGCCGGATGCATCATACCGAAACTGTGCCCATCCCATTGCTGGCAATGGAAAAAAAGTCACAATATGTCATGATACGTCATGTGACATTGCGAGTTTGACACCCCTGTCTTAAGTGAATCACACAGTCCTTAAACACATCTGTCTTTCCTCATTAATTCTGCTTGTTGGAAACTAGCTGGGAAGATTGCAAACAGCAAACCTGTGACTGTGTAGCATTGCAACTGTCCTAAGTACATGCTACGTGTCAAGTGCCCAAATTTTGATCATGTGGCTATGCTGCAATGGTTTTAAATGTGACGACCGTGTGTAAGTCACTTTTTCCACTGATGTTGTAAGTTCAGTCGTTAAACGAATGGCTGTAAGTCAAGGACTTCCTGTACAGGGCAAATAGGTTAATTCAATAACCAGAGTGCCTTGTGTAAACATAGCCAACATCTTTGGGTTAACGAAATCAGGTCTTCATGTGAAAATACCAAGTAGCACAGACATAATTTGGGAATAACAGCTTCTATACCCTTTTGACTGTGAATCGCAGTCCAGGTTTTTCCATGTGTCTTAAAACATAGGACTTCGTTGTACCGAAAACACCACTTGAAAACGCTCCTGCTTTTGCGATCTCTGAAAAAGGTTATTTGTCTTCTTCAACTCTGTCAGTCACCCGTCCTTTATTACAGTCAATGAGTGGTATTCCATGTAGAGAAGCACAAAGGTTAAAAATATACCAGATAAAATAAAACAGAATGCAACCAAGTGGTGAAGGGCCTGGAGAATTTTACTATGAGGAAAGATGGCCTTTTGGGATTTCTTGTCCCAAAAGAGAAGAATTGGAAGGGGACAGGTTGAGAATTACAAAATAGTCCATGGGGTGAATAAAGTGGACGTGCTACTTTACCTTCCACAAAATTAGCTAGACGTTGTGGAAATGAATGGCCCTTAGTCTTGATGTTAGCATGGCTGTCTCTGAAGACCATCTGCAGAGAGTCTAGTGGGCTTCCTTGTGCAGTTCGTTGTGAGACTCCTGTGAAAACAGATTGTTGGATAAAATGAGCCAGGGGTCCAAGGCAACAAACCACTGCTTATATGAGACAAAAGTGGAAATAAAATAAAATAAAATAATACAGGTAGTTCTTGACTTACGACCACAAGTTAAGTGAGTTTTGCCCTCTTTACAACCTTTCTTGCCACAGTTGTTAAGTGAATCACTGCAGTTGCTAAGTAAGCAACATGGTTGTTAAGTGAATCTGGCTTCCCCATTGACTTTGCTCGTCAGAAGGTCACAAAAGCTGATCACGTGACCCCAGCGACACGGCGACCATCACAACTACATGCCAGCTGCCAAGCGTCCGAATTTTGATCACGTAATAGTGGGGATGCTGCAAGTGTGGAAAAATGGTAATAAATCACTTTCAATGAAGGCAAATCGCTTTTTTCAGTGCCGTTGTAAGTTCGAGCGGTTACTAAATGAACTTTTGTAAGTCGGGGACCACCCGCAATAACATGATTGGATGAGGCTCAGGGAGGTGGCAGGAACTGAATGAGCTTACCTTAATTTTGTAGACGAGAGCCCTCATCTTCTTTTCTGACCCTTGCAGAGTGGATCTTAGCTGCTGTTTCTGAATAGATTGTGTTGGTTATCAGCTCTTTTTACGAACTCTCCTCCTAGATTTTCCTGAAGCTTAGAGTCAGATCCTAGAAATACAGTAAAAGGCCAAATGCCCTTCGTTGAAAAATGGTCACTTTCTTTCTTGTGGTGAATGAAAACCTCTCCTTTCCACTTTGTGTGTCAAACTCAGAAGCAAGGCTGAAAGTCTTGGCTAGGTGCCCAGGACTGTTAAAATGTTTCCTGCCTTGTCTGGGAACAGCCTCGTAGAATGTGTCATTTCTTAATCCATTCATTAGAATACAGGGTTGGTTCAGAGGCTGTTTTTCAAATGGCGTAGATTCTGCTATAAACAACAGGCCATAACAGGCACTGAACATGCTCCACCTACCGTTAGTCACAGCATCTGGAGATTTGCAGAGCTGAAAGAGAACACGAGCAGCGTCTTTGAGAAGGGAGAATCTCCGGACAGCCTTTCTTCAATTTGTCGACACAACGGTAAGTTTCTCTCATTGATTCCTGAAATGCGTAAATGCGCACACAGCAACCATGTTAGAGAAGCCACGGGTTTCCTATGTAGGTTAAAAATGCCTCTGCTTGAATAGAAACCTTGTTTGCTGGGAAGGGGTACATTTCCATTCATGTTATGCAACTCTTAAAGTGATAAACTGCCTGGTGGAGCAAAGATGATTTCACGGGATCCAGATGAATTCTGGAGGCAATTTTTTTTTCCACTCAAGAGGAGAAGCGAGGAGAAGCGAGAAGCGGTGGAAGCATCTGAAACTTCTGCTGAGGGTGCTGTGCAATTAAGGGCGATCAGAACAGGCACTTCTATTAAAAAAAGGCATTGTGGGTGTCTTTAATCTGGCCTATTTTCTTGACTAGCAGTTGCTATATTTTGGAATTCCCCAGCACAGAGAAGCAGAGTGTGTTTTGATAGATAGAGAGAAAGCAGAATGTTCCTGCTGGCCCAGCACATTTGCCTGTAGTGTCTTTTTGACAGAGCAAAATTCCTCTTAAATGAAAAGGAAATGGAGGGAGAAAAGAATCACAACTTCAGAAGTAGTTCTGGGTGGGATGCAGACATGTTCTTAAAATGTGTGTGTGTGTGTTTGTGTGTTTACAAAGCTACCTGCCAAGATGCTTCTAAATGTTGGGAAAAGAGGGAGCACCTCATCCCCATTTCTATATCAGTAGTTTCAGGGGGGAGACAATGTTTTGACTGGGTTGATGGAACATAGAATAACAGGGTTGAAAAGGACCTTAGAGATCTTCTAGTCCAACCCTATATCATTCCAAAGTGAAACAAAAGTTGGCAATTAGGTTGCATGATTTGGCACAGTGCTACGATCAGCAACTCTTATGAGGCATGAAATGGATGCCTGCATTTATCAATAGATCTATAGTTTGGACCAATTCCACTGCAGATTTTCTTATTTTCTACCTAATTGTTCTGCCCGTTAATTCTGAGGTGATGAAAATTGGAGCAAGTTGGTAGCACCTTGTTGCATTATTGCGTTATTGCTATTGTTCTACATTACTAAATCATTCTGTTTCTGACCACTGTGCATGATACAAGGTGGTAAAGTCGAGCCCATTTTGAGGTATGTTCCCTACCATGTGCTAGCCACACCCATGGATGACTATGTTATATAGCATTATTTTTACAAATCCTTGGTAGATCCTCCTCTCTTTCAAATGAATTGTTGTCATTTTAAGAATGGGTTGGTAGGAACCTAAAGCCACAAATTTAACCGACAATATAAAAAAACCAACTGATGCACTGTGCTGATCTGTAGCACCTATGGGAGGTTAAAAGCAATACCAGAAAGCAACATGATATGATGAGCCCAAATGACTTTTGTCGGTGGGATTCCTCTTCCCAGCCCCAATCACTTAATTGGTTTCTTCTCTTGTTGTGAAATATTTTGGTAGAAATAATGAATTTAAACATGGTCTGTTTCATGAGACAGCCTGTACCCTTTTTGTCCTCCTTGCGGTGTGCTAGAAGATAATTTTTAGGAAACCAAATTTAGAACTCTTAGCCAGTAACGAACCTCATGACGTGTTTTTATTCCATTTATTCTGCCGAAAATGTAAAGAGGTTTCTGGATGCTAAAAAAAGGATGAGGGGAAGAGAGTGCCCTCAGTTCTCCCCCAAATTTGGATTTGATCACAAAGAACTATAGAACATAGAATAATATGGTTGAAAGGCCCTTGGAGGTCTTCTAGTCCAACTGCCGGCTTGTGGCAGGAGATCCTACACCATTCCAGACAAATTGCTGTTCAGTCTCTTCTCGAAAACCTCCAGTGAGAGGCAAGCTGTTCCACTGATTAATTGTTCTCGCTATCAGGAAATTTATCCTTAAATCTAGGTTGGATCGCTCTTTAATAATCTTCCACCCATTCTTCCCTGTGATAGTCTCTCAAGTATTGGAAGTCTGCTATGATATCATCCCTAATCCTTTCCCAGAAGAATTAAGGAGAAACTTCCTGACAGAACAATTAACCAGTGGAACAACCTGCCTCCAGAAGCGGTGAATGCACCAACACTGGAAGTTTTTAAGAAGAGACTGAATAGCCATTTGTCTGAAATGGTATAGGGTTTCCTGCTTGAGCAGAGGGTTGGACTAGATGACCTCCAAGGTCCCTTCCAACTTTTCTTCTTCTTCTTCTTCTTCTTCTTCTTCTTCTTCTTCTTCTTCTTCTTCTTCTTCTTCTTCTTCTTCTTCTTCTTCTTCTTCTTCTTCTTCTTCTTCTTCTTCTTCTTCTTCTTCTTCTTCTTCTTCTTCTTCTTCTTCTTCTTCTTCTTCTTCTTCTT